AAAAAAAAAAAAAAAAAAAAAAGAAAAAAAGTGTCGAAAGAAGGGAAACCAATATGGGTACAACTAACTAGTTGTAATCTATCGAGCGGTGTCTTCTTGACAGGGCAGGCACTTTCTTCCTCCACGGTCGTTATTTTCTCGATCTCGTCGGAGCATGACCTAGAAATTGCTCTAGGTAAAAAAATCAAATCGCAAAGAAGTTCCTCAGAAGTTCACAAATCTTACGTTTGCGCTTCTTTAATTTCCGAAGCGCCCCTGAGAACCGCGACGGCTCCAGATATACGTTTCCCAAGAGACATCGTGATCGATTTGACAATACGTCTCACTTTAAGAATTCTTGAGCAGTCTTCCTCTGCACGCGAGGAAGATCACGGAGAGCTCGTATTCGTTCATTCCGCGGCTTTCACCGCTGTGGCATCTGCATTTGCAAATAAGAGAGATCGTCACTGTATTGATGAATTCCCTTCAACTGAAAAAGAACTTCGCGTTCCCCTTTCACATCGTTTATCAATCGATCAAAGCTAAAAAGCAAATATTAAGAGGCATAAAGGAAAATCGACACAGCGAGAGAACGTAGAAGAGAGTAGATCTCCATGGAGAAATCCCCGCACCTGAGTCCGCAATAGATGCACCGTTTCGGGATCACTGCACCAATAAGATGAAATCGTACAACCAGCTAAATGGCATCCGTAACCGTGGATCTTGGCAGATCTTTTGCGCGCAATGCACTGCCGAGTGACTACCGCATGATCGAATACCCGGGACTTGGCCGACTAGGTATCGCGTCGTTACGATCTGCCATCATGTAGATAATATGCTCCATCCAGGAAGCTGATTAGAGCTGGTGAGGGGTCAGAGGGTGAATACATCGTAAGAGTAAAGGGAGACAGATCGGAGAGTAACAAAGATAACTGGCTACAGGAAGAGGGCACTCATCACAACGGGTCGCACGGCACTGAATGAGCAGAAGGGAGAAGAATGTGTACCACGCGCGTCTGTTTCGCAGAAATAGACCCGTCTCTATTGAATCTACGGCATCGGCTAAATTGCTCTAAATGGAGAATTTGAACAATTCATCCCCCATGTTGATACACAACCCCCTGCGAAGCGACTGAAATAGTGATATAACGTCACATCGCGTCTTATGAAATGCTCTGATGTTTGTTGGTTCCCGCGATCATTTTTACGTTTTCTTTTCCTTACAGGTGAGAGATGCATACGAAATAAATTCACGGACACTCTTTTAAAGACGTCGTTGTGTCTTAACAGGTTGATATACGTTCTAAGTAGGAAAATAGACGCGAGAGAAAAGCGTGATTGTAGGCGTGAACGCTATGCACTGCGTGCACGCACCACTTGCGAAACTCATTAATTCTATCGAATTAAACATAACATCGTAAATTGCGTTGTAATGTTTAGACTGAAAAGTGAATTACGATTACGATCTACGAAAGTGGACGCCGTTTATCAATTTGCTTTATGTTGTTTTAACAGGGAATTTGAAACTGTGTTGCCTTGATTAATTCATGGAATTACGAGAGGTGTATTATCACAATATTAATACGGGATTCTATTTGTACCATATATATTCGTATCGAATTATACGATACAAAATTCGAAATTAATTTGATGTATTTTACAGTGATTACGAACGTCGGAAACACAGATTCGAATTGGAACGTTCATGACGGATTATTTTGAAAGCATGTAGGATATGGGCCAATTTGTAGGGCCCCTTTGTATATCCGTTGGGGGTAACCTAATTTCTTCAGCAATGATGGCTATGAGTGACTATATGTAATATCGAGTTCACGATGTAGATGTGCAATACATGAGTAAGTTATCCGTCACCTCGACGGACTGCTTAACATTTTATTACACGTACTGTATAAAAGAAGACTCTAAATGCAAAAAAAAAAAAAAAAAATGCATCTCTTAAGAATGAATATCGTTGTTAAAAAGTTAAAAGAGTTATGAAAAATTGATAAATGTGAATGTTAAGGATATTCCAAGATCAATTTGTCTATCTCATTCAAAAAGTTGCATATTGATGTGCAATATGTTTCCATGCAAACGCATGGGAAACGCATCCACCCGGTAGGAATGATTTGCGAAAATTCAAAAGTGTAACACGATGTGCTAGATTTCTTAATACCAATTCAACTAGATAATATCAATATGCATTTTAACAGACATATTTTCAAGATGAAGTGGGTGGACATAGCCCTTAAAATGACGATCATTCGCAACAGATCCATTCCTAAATCTTCCTTTCGAGAGAAAAGAAGTTCTTGTTGTAAATCTCTTCGTTCTATCGCGTTATCTGTTTCAATCACGGTGAAAACATGTTTAATAAGATGATGAGAATATTTATATTATTAACGGTGTTTAATATAGTTTACGCGTATCAGAGAAATTTTTGGTGGAAAATCGAAAATACGCAAAGACAAGGGTAAGGCCTGTATCTGTATTTTTAAATATAAATTAGCTGAAACGTTTATAACACAAATTCTATGTTTCTCCTTTCTATAGACCTAACGTCTGCGCCGTAGAAGTGAACGATGACATAAATTATGCTTATTACACTGAGAGCAAACAGTGGAGTCCTCGAAAAATTTGTGGCAAACCTACGTAAGCATAATTTTACTTTTTGCTTTCAATATGACGCATATTCAGTGCAG